TCATGATTAAGCAAAAGTGAGCATGTGGCAAGCTTCTCTTATGAAATTTTTTCACAAAAGTATAGGCTGCCACTTCGTGAAAATGTTTTCTTTTTGAAAAGTTCATTGTTTAACTTCTCCAATCTGCACAATGACTCTCACAACCAAGTCTTGTTGGTTTTGTGCCTATTCTTTCTCAAAACCTCTGTTTGGATTGTAAGTTATTTGGGATTATTTGAGATATTTTTACTGTAGCACTTTTTGTGATGTGATGTATGTGAGATAAAAAGATATTGGGAAGATAAAAAGGTGTATTGAAAATTGTAAAGATGATGTAAGCAAATAAAATTGGAGAAATATGAAGCAATCCAAACAAAAAATCTTGCTTTTCTCTCCATTTTTTAAATCTCATCCCTCTGGAAAAATTTGAAAAAAAAAGGAATGTCAAGTTCATCTTTGTATATCATTTTCCTGCATCACCAAAGTCTTGTTTGATAATAATCCAATTCAACACTTAAACTTAATGAATTCAGATCTTAATATGTTCAGATGCGTTTAATAACAAAAAATTGAACATCTGAATTAATTAAGTGATATTGAATTTTCTAGGCAAAATTTGTTTCTAAAAATAATTTATACGCTATTCACTTATCACTTAATGTGATATACACTCAAATGTATTAGATTTAGTACTTAACAATTCAATAATTTAATGGATTTAGACTTCAGATTTTGGATCTCAGACCTCAGTTTTCAAGATTCAGTTTTATCAAATGCATCACAAATCTTAGCACATTTGTGAATTTAGTTATAATTGACATTAATTTATTAATAATAGTTTTTTGTCTATGTTTAAAATAATTTGTTCTTGTTTTGCTTGTGTAATACCTAAGTCCCCAATACCCTAAGTAATTTAAAATTTAAATTACTTAGGGTGTGGTTAGAAATTTTAAGAATAATTGAAGGCTCAAAGTGCAAAAAGTCCATGTATATCTAACCACTGGTTGCTTGCTGCTATTGTTACTTCTACTGTCATAGGTAAACAGCTAGAAACAGAGACCTTTAGGAGAGACTTAGAGCACAGAAGGGAATCATCAAATTCAAGCTCCTTAAGGTGATTTTAGGTAAGAAATTCGTAATTTAAAACTTCATGAGTTTAATTGTAAGATTAAGAAGAAGGTTTTGGTGTTTCTTATATCTCTTGCTGTTGAATCTATAGCCAAAGATTTGGGATGCAAAGTGAAGGTATTCTCGACAAATTGTAGCTTAGAAGAGTTGAGTTTAATCAATTTTGTAACTAATAGGCACCCTTGCGCAGTTGTGAGAAATCGATCATAGCTAGGTGTAGGAATGTCAAAAATTCAGTGTCATCAATAGCGTTAGAAACTATATTTGTAGATCTTTTCAACGGTATAAAATTCAATCTCTAGTTTGCTGCCTATTGATGTCAAAAAATTTGCAAAGTTGGCTAAAAATCCGACTTGCACAGCTTAGGATTCAAAACTATATTGACTTGTGACTATTTCTGAGTGTTTTTAAAAAAAAAAAAAGATTTTTAGCACTTCAAGTTTAGTTTGTAATAGCGCGAATTTTTGTAACTTTTTTTAAAAAGATATATAACTTAAGTTATGGTAGTTCAACTGAGCATTATTGGTGTTGAAAATCTAAAGTAGACTGCCGTATGTGGAGCTGGTTATTTGATTAGCTAATCTTGCACTGAATTACATTTTAGGTTTACCAAAGGAATCCTACAAATTGAATTTGTTTGTTTTAGGAGAAGATTCAAGGACAAAGAGATGAATTTGAAGTTATCCTGGTTGTCAAGTAAGTGATTATTTCATATCTCTATACTTTAAGATGAACTTTTAAAGTACTTATGAATTTAATCGCTAAAAATGTATTTTGTGATATCGAATTGGATTGAGCATATGTACTTATTTAATGATTATATGTCCATGAATGATTACAATTTGTCTTCATGCATGATTAAATATGTGTGACTCTGGACATTATTGGATTTGTTAAAATAAGTTTAGGGCGGGAAAGATTGTAGAATTGCAATGTTTAAATGCTAGCACAGCTCTCCCACGAGGCCCAAGCGCAGGCTGATCTGAAGGCTAGTTTTTAGGCATTTACATTTACCTCTCCTGAGGTATGACTAAATTACCAATCAAACCCTCAAGTTTGACCAAATAATAAATACCCCCCTTATGATCAACTTCCGTGAAGTATCTCAAACAGAAGTGGAGAAAAGACCAAAATGCCTACTACTGTGAAAAGATAGTTTAATAAATCTTCTTGTTACTTTTTTTTTTTTTTCCTTTTTTATTTTGTTTTCATCTCTTTCCTTACCAACTTTAGTAGAAACTTTTAAATTTTTAAGAGAGTAACCTCACTGCCGCCACACCTGCCGCTGTCATCGACGGAGGAGGGGCTGGCAACCGTTCCGGAAGGTTCACGGCCATGATTAGGTCAAAAAAATTTGTGCGGCTCAGATCACTCCTCGTAACTCTATTTTCACGCCGTGTGGGACTCACAAAAATGTTGTTCTATTGTTACACCTTGTACAGATGATGTTACACCGTGTGCAAATGGTGTTACACCTTTCGGAACGGTTGCTCTGACAACCGTTTCAGTCCCGGATCCCGTCATCGACCACCTCTAGCCAATAATAAATTCTAGCAAAAATTGCATCTGAGAGTCATTTTTTTAGTGCAAATCATATGATTCCAACCTTAAAATTGGCTAAAAGTGGCTGTAGAGCCACCAAAGGAGCCTAAACAAGTGGCTATTCCTTCCTTTTTTCCACCAAAACCAAAACCAAAACCAAAACCCAAAATGTTTACAGCAAAATAATTCTCACCAGGCATGGAACACAAGTAAGCCCCAAAACCTCGAGACCCAGCTCGTCAAATTTTAGGTTCATAAATTCGTGAAGTTTTAGTCATAGAATCATCAAAGGGAAAGCAGCCGGACTAATGAAAGAAAAGAGAAGAAATTTTTACGGGTAAAAGGAAAAGGCTTATGTTAAAGTTGAAATCAAATTGCCGTTGAAGAAGAAATTGGCAGTCGATTCATTTGCTTGAATAATTCTGATTTGAAAGGAATATTTAGTGAATTTGAGTTTGATTCCATGTGAAAATGTTTAAGTAGACAAATTATTAGTTCTTGGTTTTTGGTTTTAAGTTATTGATTAAAACATATACAACGAGCCAAATCAATGTGTAATTAAATCGGGGAGAAACATCAATTGCATTACATTTTTTTTAGGTCACTTGCATTAGAAGATTTTACTTTCTGGTTTACTCTTTCCTTTTCCATTTTTTTTGAAGTATGAAGCGGTTATTCATATTTTGGGAATAAAGAAAATTATTTTTGTGATATATAGGGGTGGCAATGGGGCGCCAGGGGTGGGGCGGGGGATCCTCCCCCACCCCCTGCCCCGTTGCCTACTAATTCCCCCTACCATTGCCCCGTCCCCTGCCCCCCGCTTGCCTCGTGGGGTTAAAAGAAATTATTATATAATTTCATTATAATTAAATTTGAGCAAATAATCAAATACTAAAATATCAACATATCACCAAATTATTATTCATTGTAACATCACAATTGAAACTTATAAAAATAATTAAACAAAAGTTATTTGAATATAATCTAATATGATAAAACAAATATAACTAAAATAATCAAGTTTTTACTTTTGATACAAATATAATCACTAAATTATTATTTTATTTTTTTTTAAAAAAGTATTATTGTATTAAGTGTAGTTAGGAATTTAATATAAATGTATTAATAAATTCAGTATAAATAATTAATAATTTTTATCAATAGACATGTATAATTAGTAGTATAATTGATAATATCATGATATATATAATTATGCACATATATATATATCTTTTTTTTTCCAAACTGGTGGCAGGGCGGGGGTATCTCTCAAACAGGGGGAAAAAATCCCCCCCCCCCCGCCCCAATAGACCCCTGCGCCCGTTGCCATCCCTAGTGACATACATGGTTTATAAGGGCATTTTTTGGAGTCTCACACCATTTTATTTATTTTTTGCTTACATTAGCAACATTTCTAATGGTAGAAGATGTCAAGGGTATTTTTGGATAAACTTTTGTGCATTCAAAGGGTTAGACCATTATTTGGTCAAATTTTAAGATTTAATTGGTAATATGGAAAAATTTAAAGGGAGATAAATGTAATTAATCCAAAACTATATGTGGTTGAATTTATCAGATATTACGATTTAAATGCTTCGACATAGACTCTTAGGTCCTATTTGATAATTCAATTCAACACTTAAATTTAATAGATTCAGATTTTAATATATTCAGATCATTTCATAAAAAAAATGAACATCTAAATTAATCAAACGACACTGAATTTTCTAAGCAAAGTTTGTTTTCAAAATTAAGTGATAAACTATTTACTTACTACTGAATGTGATATGCACTCAAATGTATTAAATTTAATATTTAACAATTTAATAATCTAATGGATTTATACTTCAGATTTCAGACTTCAGTATTATTAAAAACACCCTTAATCATTTTTAAAGCAAAAAATGTGAAAATTCTACATTTTTACACATATAACATACCAAAGACAAATTAAAAAAAGTAATAAAGCATGTTATATTCCATAAATTAATTCAAGACATTTAAGTCAAATTTATATGAGTTTTTTTTTCCACAGTGTTGACAAATATAATCGTTGTATCCATGATACATGTAAAAAAATGAATTTTAAATTTAAATTTTATATAATTATCATTTATTCAACACTAATTTCAGTGTAAAAAAGATTAATCTAAAAGAAAAGTGAATGAGTATACGTTCATTGGGATCCCTGTCTTACCAAATCAAGGATAAATAAATGAATTTGTCTACTACTCGGAACCTTTTCACCAATTTTTCCATCATAATAACCTCCAAAATTCCTCGTTAATACTCCTTAGAAATTATTAGTCGTTGTATAACATAAATAAATAATACTGCACTTATTACTAATTGTGTGCTGGAGGCCAAGTCTACGGCGCCTTCCTTCTCTGTCCCTCCTTTTATTCTCTCTCTCTTTCCCCGACGAGTCAACTACTCCTCCCTTCTCATACCCTGACGACCCGACCGAGTCCTGTATCGTCGCCGTCGTCGCTGTTTCTCCGGCGAACCATTGATACTCCTGCATCTTTGTCTTCTCCTGTCAAACGACCTTTAGCAGCATCTACTAAAACTAGCTGTTTCTTTTTCTTTTCTTCGCCAGAGCTCGACTAGGATCCACTGATTGAATCTTCCCCCATGGTTAGGGTTTTTCTTCCCTGTTTCCAATCTAAGTCGTAACTTATTTTGTTGTAGTTGAATATTAGAGATTGAGTAGCTCCGGTTTGTTGTTAGATGTGTGTAATTTTATGTTTTAGTTAGTTGACTTTTCTCAACTTTTGTGGTTTTTTATGTGCTTTTAGTTGCTTCTGACAGATAAATATCTGTTGTTTTAAGTAATTGAATTGAATGTCTTTTTGTTTGAATTTGATTGTTGGATAATTGGGTTTGTAAGGTTTTGACCTAGGTTGAGCTTCTTGTAATACTCCAGTTGAGATCAAAACCTAGTCAAAGTTATCCGCAAACTTGGTTCAGATACTCCCGTTTTGAAATAGTGAACAGGATTTTGCTTTTTAGTATTTTGGGTATAGGAGTAATTTTTTATTTTTTTCAATTTTTTGGTAATTGGGTTGATGAATCTCTGTTATGAATTTGATAGTTGGATAATTGGAAATAAGGTTTTGACCCGAGTTTGAGTAGTTTTGAACTGAGTTCAAACCCTACAAAAGGTTTTTGGTGAGCCCAAGTGCTGCAGATTGAATTCTATGGAGTTAGATATAGGCCTTAGATACAGCCTCTAGATAAATTTTGCAGATGAGAAAATTTTCTGTTTTTAACAACCATTGATGTGTTGAATTAGGTGAAAAGAAAACGGATTATAAGTCTCCCATTGTTCATGCTTGCTTTTAACATGAATACCTGAATAATTTTAAAGTATGTATCCTCAATCAGCAAGCATATATTTGGTTTGGCATTATTAGTTGCCCCAGAAAGAAGGCAGGATAGAGCCTGTCTTGGCATCCACTGTAATTAGTTAGGAGAAATAACAACTTTGTTCTTGTATTGGTTTCTTTTTTATGTCATTATATTTTTGTTCTTTATGTGTGATCTTGTGCACTTGAATATGGGAGCTAGTGCAAAATATTTTTTTATCGTGTGTCTGGACTGATTGAGTTCTATTTTTTTTAAAATGTGTTATAGCTCCTGGAGTTGTTTTGGCCTTCCTGGATGGACTTCTCATCCTCAGCATTTCAGTGACAGTGGTTGTTCCTTACTGTTTTGAGGAGTTTATTTTCCCGCGAATGTTCTTAAATCCAGATTTTGGTGCATATCAGAAGTATAGATCAAATGCCATCACTCAAAATGAAAACCAAGTCAACTGTGGGCTGTTTGAAAGAAAAAAGAGGTCTCCGCATATGCCCAAAATCAACCATGATATCCAAGAATTCTCTCTTTGTTTCCAAAATAGCTCAGAATGCTGACGAACTTCAGACTATTATTCAACATACTCACGATGGTAAGTAAACAATAAAGGATCTCAATCTTCTAGAAGAACTGTCTTTTGGTGGTCTATAAGGATCAAATCAATTATGATTAAACATATTGTTCTTTTGAGAAGAACTTTAAGTATTTGTTGGTTAGAAGGCTTTAGAGTCTATGACAAAGGATGTAACTAGTTTAGTTATTGTTTGCGATAATAGGATTCTTTTGTTGTGGTAATTTTTATTTATTTTTTCTGCTGTAACTGGATGAGACTATACATATACTGTGCAACAAGATGCATCATTCCAAGGGAAAGATTGAGGTAATTATTCTGTGAATTTAAATTTGAAGTTTTAGTTTGTGTAAGAGTGAGCATAGTATAAATTCAGATTTAGAGGCTGGGTGCAAGTTAATCAGACATTTGCATCCATAATTTTTTATCATTGAAGTTTTTTGAGGTTTTTTTTGAAATACAATTTTATTATGAGGTTCTGGAGATTCACTGCTTGAAACCTCTGTTTCTTGATTATTAATATCTATAAACTGCTATAGTGCTACAGGCCTGGTTGTCTCATTGATATGGTGTATTAACTACTTCAATTTCAAGTAGCCCCTTTTTCTTTGTCTTGTGTAAAGGTTAAAGTGTCCTCAGGATATGATTTCTTTCATTGTCCTTGTAGTTTGTTCATGTGACGAAAAACGTTCTCATGATAGCGAAGCAAGCGATGCTGACCATGGGGAATCATTCAATGGAGAACTCCTTCAAAAGCAGTATATGCCTTTCATTGATTCTACAGATGTCAGTAGAATGGTAAAAAAAATCTTTTTCCCCCCAATTTAGCTGTTTGTTTATTGTTTTTTTGTTTGTGGCAGTTTGTAGCTTATTATCCAGTTCTTTTTGTGGTCTTGGTCATTATCCTTTTTCAAAGCAATGTACTTGATGCTTTTGTATATGAGACAAGAATTCCTTGAGTCATGTAAAATAATTGTTGGACATCTTTGTCTTAACTTAGCTCTAAACTCACTGCACGTCTTTGTCCTAAGTTAGCTCTGTACAAATCACACTTCTTTGTCCTAACTTAGCTTTATAGTAGCCTTCTTCAAGGCATGATACCAAGTGGTTTGTCATCTAAATTAATGTAAAATATGGTGCATTGTCTGATAACGAATTTCAAGTTTACATCATTAGAAAAAGAGCTCTCTCTCTCTTTTTCCTTGTTCTGCATTCAGATTTTGTCATTTACTTGTATTTCTTCAGTTTATTTGTCTTAAACTTTGTTCCCATCCTTGTTAGTTCACTAATTGGGAAGTTTTTGCAGTCAACCAAGAGCTCAGGGAAATACAGAGCTAGAGATTTGTGTGATTTTCCTCAAGCTTTAACTAGGCATCCCATGTAGATAAGGAGCGTAATTAGGAGCAATAATATGTTAATCGAGAGTCTTTGTTTATGTTGATTATAGTTTTATTTTCTGAGTTTAGTAGTTTTTGAAATATTGGGTCTCAAGGGTGTTTTGGTCTTTTACTTGTTGCAGGAATTTTCCAGCACATGTGTTGCTGAGTTTTTTTTAGTTATTTATTAGATTAGGTAAGTCATTGTCACAGAAAAGTTCCTAAAAGGCTTTGCAACTTGTTAATTTCCATATTAGAAGATGGAAATACTAAGTTTAGGAAAGTTTGAAGTTTATAAATTTTAATATTCCTATGTTATCCTAGGTAGGGTGAGATTGATGAATAGGAATTGAGTTTTTTGTTTCGTGCTCCCTCCGTCCCATTGATGGGTGTTATGCTTTCCTTTTTGGCCTGTCTCAAAATTTATGTCACTTTCTAAATATGGCAAATAGCTACACAACTACTTTCACTTCCTGTCCTTCACCTACCCATTGGGAATTAGTATGACTCAGCCATCAATTTAGGTCTAATTTGTGCTGAGAAATTAACTCATGAACAACGCAGTCAACAAAACAAGACCATTAAGGTGCGATAGATTTTGGTGGGATTTCGACTGACAACCAAGATGTCCTAGGCACCACTTATTTTTCTAGTTGTTTTGGTTGTGAACCAAATATAAAGCGTGTGAACTACACAACCTCAGTAATGAGGAAGTATGTGCTGCACATATAAAACTTGATATATAGACAACAATTCTTATTTGGCCCCACACATTTATCACAATGATGTTATGAAGGATAAAGACACAACCTGGCTCAACTTTTTCAGCTACTTATACGCTGTTTTTTTTTTTAAAAAAAACTCTTGAAATGCATAAAAAATTTGGGTCTGAGGGAGTACTTGGCTTGTCTTCTTCCCCCCTAAATCCCTGTTCTTCTTCCCTTTTTCTCCAATGTTATTGTTCATGGGTACTGTACAAAGCCTGAAAACAGTCCAAGGATCGTCCCATTCTTCTGCTAGAGCTAGTAGGCGAGGACCTCACCTATTTTTCCGACATCAGAAGTATCTAATCGCCAGGTTGTAATCATAACTTATGTAATTTCCCCGGAATTTGAAATTTTTGGTAAACTATGATTATATGTATCGAGGTATCTTTGAATCTTCCAATACCAAGCACGTAAACATAGAGCAATTGTGGAAGATCTGAATAGTTGACTCAAAGTTGCAAGCTATTATAACTTGAGAAGCTTATTATGTTACAAATGGTTACTTCAACTTGGACTATTTTAAAAGTTCAAATATAGATTTTTGCAATGTGATATTTTTTAAATACTGCAGTTTCGATAGATCAGATGTCTTGTGTGTGTGTGCGTGTGCGTGTGCCCAAGTTCTAGGCTTCTAGTAGGATATCCTGCAGAGTCACTGGCTGTAGGAAGTTTCAATGGGGAGAATTGATGTGCTATTTCCTAGTTGCTGCATTCTTGTAGTATTGCTAGATTCTCTCAGTTAGTGTAAAGATTTTGTGATTTTTTGAAATATTTACCGTTTTCATTCTTTTGCAGAATATTTTTCTTTTCATTGATCACATACTCCATAGTTGTATTTATGTTTTAGTGAAGAATGTCAGCTTGAGTTATAGTATTTTGTGTTATTCCCTAGGATATATCTTTCCCGTTGTGATTATGGATCGAATCATTTGAGATGCCTGTTTTATTTGCACGTACAAAGCTAATCATACTGAATATGATAGCAGTTTCTGATTCACTTTCACTTCCATACAATGTTTACCAGAGTAGGTTTGTTATTTAGCATGTAACAGCATAACTAATTGTAATGCTTTTTTAAACTGCAGGAGTCTGCACCAGGAACCTGTACAAGCTCAGAGACGATTTTCTCTCCCATTTTAGAGTCTATTGACATTCATAGTAAATCATATACTGACTATTATGGAGGTGAGATGCAATACTTGGTCTGATTTGTTCTTTCCTCTGAAGAGTACTATCATGAATATTTCATAATTGATGTGAATTGAATGTGAGGAGACATGAGGTTTTGAGATTGTGTTTCCCTATATAACACTTTTTCCTTCCATATGAAGAGGTAACACAAGAAAAAATGAGAGATATGATGTAGTAGCTGCTAGTGTTAGAGAATTTCAGTTAAATGCAATGCTTCTTTTACTTTGTTTTGCGCTGAAAGTGTGGAATTGAACTAGAAATTGTTTTTCATCTGCTGGGTCACCTGATTTTACTATCACACGGAGACAAAGTATCAGCATTTGGTATTCTGGTTAAATTGCTTATCCTACAACTCTCACAGGAGTTGAAATTCTCATCTGTTTGATATGTGTATGTTTTTCCTCGAGTCATCAAATTAAATCCTTATAACTTTTGGAATAGAATCTGTTATGCAGAAGCCTATAGACATAAAAGATAATCTCTGTTTATTGGTTTTATCTAATTATAATATTATCTTATTTATTAAAAAAAAAAAAATCTTAACCTTGCTACCAATCCTTCCAGGGAACAACAACCTGTATGTGCCACAGTTGGAGACAGAAGATAGTGATGACAGCAGTAAAGGTTCATGTGAATACCAGACCTGCAGCATATCAGATTTCTTTATATCTGACATGATTTTTTCTGGGCTACCAGTTGATGGCAACTCAGTCTTTAATGATAATGATAGTACAGACACTAAGTTCTTGCCTGATTACAAATGTGAAGAACCACTTAATTCTTTTGATTGGACTGAGGAAACCATGGTAATGCCTTATCTTAAGAATGCTATGGAAAGTGGCTATATTCATGATATCAGAACATGTGAAGATGCTACAATAGATTCTTCTGATTCGAGCTTGTATCTTGCTATCCATCAATTGAGATCGTGCAACCAGGAATCTGATATTAATATTTACTCAGATGTGGATCAGCCAGATTCATTTGATCCACACATGTTTATAAGGAATATACCTGACTTGCCAGATTTGGCTTCAGATTTGCGGCCAACAATACTGCCTAAGGATAGCAAGAAAACAAAATCTGTTACTCTTGTTCTTGACTTGGATGGTAAGAGAATTTCTTGAGCCTGCTGAGCTTAGAAAAAAAATGCAGGAATGAAAAGCTAACCTGATCAATGAGTCTTACTTTTAGTTTCAGTCCAGTTCTTTTGGTTTATGTACTCAGATCTTTGCCCTTACAGTTGGGTGACATCAGTTTTTTGTGGACAGAAACCCTAGTGCATTCAACATTGGAACACAGTGATGATGCTGATTTCACCTTTCCAGTGTTTTTCAATATGAAAGAGCATACAGTGTATGTGAAACAGAGGCCTCACCTGCGGACATTCCTGGAGAGAGTTTCTGAGATGTTTGAAATTGTAGTTTTCACAGCTAGTCAGAGCATCTATGCGAAGCAGCTTTTGGATATATTGGATCCAGATGGCAAGCTTATCTCTAGACGAGCTTACCGCGAATCCTGCATCTGCTATGATGGAAGTTATACTAAAGACTTAACTGTTTTAGGTGTTGATCTAGCAAAAGTTGTCATAATTGATAATTCTCCTCAGGTAATTAGTGTTCCATTGTTGTGTCAATTCGTGTGGTCACTATACTTGTATGTTTTGTGGAATTCTTATTGATTTTAAATCTGTAGATTACTAAAATATGTCATTTTTTTACCTTGTTAAGTCTATATTGTGCATGTATTTAAATGCCAAATGGTTGCGTAATTCAGTTATGTTCCAGTTTTTGAGGGGCAAGTACCGAATTGAGTCTGCTTGTTTGAATAACAGTCATAAACAAACTTATGGGATCTCAACAGTTACTTGATTATTTATAATGCTTATCCTTTGATGTTTTGCAGGTATTCCGCTTGCAAGTCAATAATGGAATTCCCATCAAGAGTTGGTTTGATGACCCCTCAGACTCCGCACTAATGTCACTACTTCCATTCCTTGAAACACTGGTTGACACTGATGATGTTCGGCCTATCATTGCTAAGAGATTCGGTAACAATGAATGAGTGCTCCTTGCACTCATTAGTTGTTTCTTTAACATTTCGTGTCCCTTTTATATCATTTTAAGCAAAACTTTCCTTCATTTTAGATGCTCATTATTCAATTCTCTTTGAGCATGGATACAATTTTTTTTCATACAACAGGGATATTTTTCCATGTTTTGGTCAGTTTTTCTTCTCCATAGCCCTTTGATGACTTGGTTAGTTAAGCTGATTTCTGGGAGAAGGTAGTTTTAAAGGTTTTCGCCTTGTCTGCATTGTACAGTTATATGCTTAAAGGTTTAAAGATTGTGTATATTGTTAAACTCTTTTTTTGGGGATATTTTAGTGATTTTTTCTTGGCGTTTACATCTCTTTACTACAGCTGGAAGTTGCATACCTAATTGTTCAATTAATATTGTGCCCTATGCTAAATAAAACGTTCTTGAATTTTGGGGAAGCATGCAACAATTTGCTTCTGGGACTAAGATATGAGTGGCATTGACTTTACCTCATACCGTGGATTGAGAGATTGTTAGAATCTTGTCAATTAATAATAGCATTCAGGGAGTATTTGAACCATTATGTAACATGTATGAGCCATCGAGATTTTTTTTTTAAGTAGAAAAGGACAATTATGAGTTTTTAGAAATAGGTGACTCCTGAAGAATTTGGGGAAATAGTTAATCCGCATAATTAAAGATGTTTTACATTGTAAAATTACAAAATTCAGAAAATACTGTTACTGGATAAAGAAAAACAGAAATCAATTCAAATTTATATGATGAGTGTTAAATTTCAATACTGATTTTGTGTTCTTTTTAACTGGATAAAACTACTAGTGATCTCTTAATCTGGATTGAGCTTCTTGTTTTCACAAGATAACTTCGCAGAATTAGATTTATCAAACTTGGTAGGGTGAGGATAGAAAACGATAGTATTGGATTGTTAACGTTTCTTGCTGTATGTCTTTAAGACTGCTTTGCATGAATTGGTATTTTCACTCCCTAAACCAGTTCCTCATTCTCATCCACCCAGGTGATGAGAGTGGGAAATGAACAACACCCGGATACATGATTTGAAGTCACTGCATGTGGCAGTTTAGTTGTCTGTACTAAGACTGCTAATTTTATATTTTTATGCTTTACATCTTTGGTGATAAGCTTTGTGAATGTTTTTAAATTTCCTCCACCACAAAAAATGGAGAAATTGCTTCTGTTGTTATCACTTTCAGGATTAGGAATAACATATGTATCTCAACCTATGTATTTTTCTTGTTTATATTGACAGAAGTGGATGATGGTAGTTACTTATTTCCTTTTATTTCTTTCAAAATTTTATACAATTAAATTGACCTCTATTAGTTATTGGAAATTATGTTACTAAGTTCGTTTCTTTCTGAAACCATTGACTTAAATAGAGTTTCTTTACTAAAAAATTAAAGCATAATTATGTCACTGGAGTAAATACCTGAAGCTTGTGTATAAAAAAATGTAGGTCAAAACCCTGTTTGCATGGGAGAATATTTTAAAGAGCAGTACCTTGTTAGGTGTTCTTCAGCAATAATGGTTATAGTCATACTTGAATTTTATAGGTTCAACATGGATAGTTGAATTTTCTGTCATCTTGAATGACTTCTTTGAAAGTATGTGAGTTTACACATGAGTGGCACACTAGGTCTGGTCATAATGTTGTTTGATTTTAGTTTGTGAATGGAAGTTAAATTCAGTGGTGAATAATAGCCAATAAGTAATCAACAAGAAAGATGGACAATGGAAAATATAATAGAGAGATCCTATGGACGAAAACCTTAGCATCCTTTGGGACAATAATCTTGTTCTGGAAATTCTATTCTAAGTGATTCACAAACTTTGGTGAAATGAGGAGGTCCACACTTGGAACTCTTCAAGCAGTTAGTCTATCCCCATTTATACTTCGCTTTGAAGGAGTGTTTGCCCTTTTAGTGGAGGTTTTGTGGTTGATTGTAGGAGGGGTTTGAGTTTTTTCTTCCTGTTGGGGTTTGCTTTGGAAAGAAGTGGCATACATTAGGGTAGTGCTTTAAAGTTGCTTGGCATGTCTCTTTATCAAGTTTTTTGATATCTGATAAGTTTAATGTTGTTATTGTTTTCGGGATAATATCACTGGTTAGGTTCAACATAATTGGCAAATAAAAAACAGTCCAGCTTCTGGTGGCAACTTTACATCCTTTCTAAACCAGTCTAAGATGGTATCCTTTTCATATTTTGGTTAGAGGTGCTTTAACAGATGAGAAACATCTTTTAGCTTCAGAATGAAATTAGTGGTCCTAGTAATTATGGATACTTTTGCTATTTTAAGGTTGGAAAATTTAATCTTTGGAGTAATTAAGCTACTGGGATACGATGTAATCTATCATTAGATTGTAGTGGTTATTGAGTCTCAGCTACAAGTGGGTATCATTCTTAGTTTACCAGGAAGTATTTAAGTGGTTGTTAGTGGCTGGGCTGCATCCATTGAGCTCCTACAATCTTCATTTGAGCTGTTTGATATATGTGTGTGGTATAGCCCTTGGGGACATCTGGATACCTTTTGAAGGATGTATTTCTACAATGCTTTTAAGTTTAGCAAAATATGGGAATTTTTATTTGATTGATTATTGGACGTGGAGGATAGATTTTTGGAACAGCTTCCTGTTTGGCACATGAGCAATAATTACAATCATACAGGACTAGGAGATTAGGACACGTCATGTTTAGCATAACATGATGAACTTTACAATTAACAATTTCAACATTTTGTTTAACAAACTATTTATGAACTGAGAGAGGTCATTTGATAGCTTAATGAACAGTAAACTAGACACCAAGGCGCAACACATTTTATAGTCTTTGCCAGATGAAGGTGATGGCTGGTCGACTTGCATGGATCAGGAGGCGATAATGATGTTTGACAAATATCCTCTGCTCATGACATTTTTGTATAGTTTCTTTACAACTTTGAATGCCTTATCTGCAGGTCATGAGAAGATACATAATGTTATCGCTACCAAATCGCATAAAATTAGGTACGCAGTATTGAATTCATGTTTGTTTTTGCTAAACATTGAGAGGAGAATCAACAAGTTTAAGATCTGTACTGATTTTGACACATTAAAATTGGTGGGAATATTAGAATAAATTCATGTTCTATGTTACATTGTGATCAAATACTAAAGCAGTTATTTATTACCCCTACCACTTTGAACAATTTGGTGTAAAGTTTCAATTGCTGGAATTTACCGTTTGTTTATATTTTATTCCGCTAGTGTATCTCAATACGAGCACCTTTTTTTTAACAAGTGGTGGATGTATTTAATCAAACTTTGATTTACCAATATCAGTTTAAACTCAAGTAGTGGGTGTATTACATGTTCTATATCAACATTTATGTTGTGCAGTTAAGCGTTACATACTGAAACTGATTATATGTTTAACCATTTGGATACATTATGGATACTTCTAAAGAGGTTTTGGATTGACCTAATCGCAAGGCAATTAAGCTGTTGTTTGTTTGCTATGGAACTCCTGAATGATTGTGTATGTGCATTGCCTGGTCCAATACAACTTGAACCAGAAGAGGTTTCAAGCATTCAAATTCGGTTTTATGCTGTGGAATCATGATTATTATAAACCATGAGCCAACAGTAGTACGCAACATAATACCTCAGTAAATGAGAGTTTGCGTACAAATTTTAATGGGAAAAATCGAGCGTTGATTTTTCACTTTTTGTCATGTTGGATTCTTTCAGTGTTCCAAATCAAGGGTTATCGTTCAAACACACTGGGCAAATAGCCGGTTAATCTAATATGCTGTGTAACTAGCCTGGCAGAATTTGACGCGAATGCTTGGTGTCTTCCTATTGTTTCAAATAATTCTTAATGCCTGTTCTTTAAATTTGGACATTCCCTACATTATTTTCAACTTCACAAATAACTCTTAACTCGAAATGACTTGATAAAAAAAATCAGCTGACTTGGTCTTTGGTCTTACAATAGTCAATGATAATTTTTTCTTCTTGAATCAACTCACAAATGAAGTTATACTTGACATTGATGTACTTGTTTCAACCATGAAAAATTGGATTTTTTGTCAACTTGAATTGTGAATTTGCTATCGCAAACTATTATGGTAGGATCATCTTTTTCATGTCAAATAAAAGCAGCATTCTTCTTAACCATGATACTTCAATGCCACTACTCGTTGCTGTAATATATTCTGCCTCAACTATTGACAAAGTCAGATTACACCATTTCTTATATAGCGCGGGTGTTTGGTGCTTGTGGTTAAAAAAGATTTTACGGTAGTTCAAGCGAATATCAAAAAATTCACACACATTGAGTAACAATATAAAGTAACAAAATATCTAATGTATACTGCAAGATGGAGAAGAAAATTATGCATGCTATCTTGCTTAGTTCATACATTTTGAAACAAACACTTGTATATGAGTTTTTCATTAACAAGACTAAATGAACTTTAAACAGATACCCAAATGATTAATGGCAATAAACAAAGTGATTATCCACTTAAAGATGCATCTACACAACATTCTTGTTGATGAAAGTGGCCAACTTTTTTAGCAACGACAAAGCCTAGCCTCAAAAGGTTTGGTTTCATACGAGAATTCAGCAATGGATCATCAATCCCCGTAGATTTTGGGTGAACATAATGCCAAATGTCTTTAACATAGGCCTTTACCTGTAATTTCATTAACTCAATACTAATTAGATCTTTCCCCAAAAAATAAGGACAATTGAGAAAAATCACATCAAGATCGAAACCGTCTAGTATCTCCGGCCAAACCCTTGATGCCATGTTATGTGCTAAATTGCCACCAGCACTATCCCCACCAAAAAACACCCTATCAAAGCTAGCATAATCCCTAAGCCATACCTCAGGACCCTCGCCATTTGAATGAGGGGCAACCCATTTGACTGCAATCTAAGAATCTTCATAAGCAATAGGCAAAGGATGCTCAGGGGCGGGCCGATAGTTAATTGAAACTGCTACAACACCAGCTTCTGCAACTACTACATTAAGGTGCGCATGATGTGTAGGAGAGAAGGCAGATTTGATCAAAAAGCCTCCACCATGTAAGTAGACCAAAAGAGGAAGTTTTGTATCTCCAAACCTATTCCAACAAAACCACATCATTTAAATTGTATAGAACAACCAACTTTGTGGGGAAACAATAATATCAACATTAAATTGCGCTAACAGAGTATCCAATTTTGGAATGAAAGCATTTAGCTAACAAAAGAAATTACGATTTTACAAAGCAAATCATACCATTAAAAAAAAGAATGAAACCTCACCTCAAATTGAACCGCCAAGAATAACTTCACCAGAGAACCATATTGAAATCCAGAGTACAATGGCAATACAAATAAGTATTTATCGGAAGACGAAAGGAACATAACGGAAGAATGTGAAGGAGCAGACATTTGAAAAATTGAAGTTGAAACTAATGCTCAATCATAAATTCCTTAATAAATCACATTGTCCTTACTTTAATTGAGATGATAATGATGTTTGAAGTTCTTCAAGTTATAATAGCAAAGTAACAGTAATAATTGATACAAACCAAAATGAATGTCTCTGTAAGGACATTTAAGTAATTACACCAATAAAGAAGCTATTGTGGGTTGTACCCATTGTAGAAAAGATGATCAAATAATCTCACATTCCCAAACTACCCAAACCTTTTAACAAATCATCACTGCATCTTTTAGAATACAAGGACATTTCAGTAAACATAATAATACACATGCTATCAAAGTAGTATCCAATACTATAACTACACTCAAAACAACCTCACAATCCCAAAATACTCCTACTCTTGTGGTTGAAATTCAAAACCATTCTTCGACCCAAACTCATTCTTATATAGTATAAGGATACATAGAGGTACTTACAAGAATCATGTCGCCATCCAATCACCATTTGTCAATTCAATAAATCTATATTCATCAATATGTTAATAAAAGATACCGTCAGACTGCATACTTTAGATATATCTTAAATTTTTTTGACCACTTGTAAATATAATTAGGATGGAGATTCCGTGAATCTACTAATCAATCAAACATACAAGTAATATTAAGTCTTATACAAGTTAGGCATCTAAGACTACTCATTAATCTTCTGAATTACGTGGCATCAACAAATTTGCCAATGCAATCTTTTATTAATTTCAACTTTTCTTCTACAGGAGTCATTGTTGGCTTGGCAGTGTTCATCTTGAATTTCTCTAGAATATCACCAACATATTTCTTTTGTGAAACAAATATTCCACCATCCACTTGAGAAACTTCAATGTCAAGAAAGTAAGGCATTAATCCCAAGTCATTTATTTTAAAATGACTCATCATAGCCTCTCTAAATTCAAAAAATAACTTGATAGAAGCACACAATAACTACATCTCTTCTAGGATTGAATTTGAAATACTCCATCCGTCCCAAAAATCATATATTAAGCTCAAGGAGCTCGTTTCAAATCATATAATGCTTTCATCAATTTGTAAACTTTATTTTTTGGCCCTTCCACACATATCTAGCAAGTTGCTCAACATATACTTCTTCTTCAAGAATGCCATTCAACAAAGAAAAATTCACCTCCATTTGGAAGATTTTCCAATAATTATTGGCAGTAAGGAAGATAATCATACCAACAAAAACTTTGAAATAATCAATATGTGCATTTAATTTGTGCCATTTAGCAACTACCTTGCCTTGAAGCGATCCAGTTCTCTAGTTGACTTGTATTTGGACTTGTATACATACCCATTTGACTCTAATTGATTTCTGTTAAATTGGAAGAGTAGTCAACTCCTATATATTATTCTTCCCAATTGCTTGACTTTTTTCATTCATTGGTTGAATCCAATGATCACCTATGACAGTGTTTTCAAAAGTTACCTGATCAAAATCTACACATAAGGCAAAATTTAGCGCATCCTCATTAGATAAATTATTATCCTTACCAATGGCATAATCCTCCAAATAGACTTGTAATCAAGGTTGTCATTGCGCATGATTAGGTGATTGTATAGGAGTAGAATACATATTAGAAGATAAAAGATCACTGGTGTGTTGCTTCATTTATTGTCCAGTAAAACTTCCTCCTATATTTGAAGACAATTGTAGATGTTTAGTGCATGGTTGTCAAAATCGCGATCCGGATCGTAGGATCGTACGATCCTACGATTCGGATCAGTAAAATCAATCTAGATCGTGTGTAGAATCGAAAATTGCTTTAATATATATAGGATCATTAGAATCGTTTGTGGGATCATAGGATTGTACATAGGATCGTATGATCTACGATCCTATTGCTATCCTACGGATTTTTGAGAATTTTGTAAATATGGGGCTAAATTTTGAAACTAAATGGAAACATTTGGAGCAGGTTTTGTAACTTATCAAAGAATTGGATCTTTAATTATAATTTTGCAACAATTTTTGTCTCAAAAACAAAAGTTACAACAAAAACAAGCTTTGAGAACAAATGAATGAAACAAACAGAGATAAAGTCACAAAAGATGAAGAGAGAGAAAGTTTCTTTGGTTCTTCCCCATCTCCATTCTAAACTTCTCCTCCATCTAGATTCCAATAAAATGTCACAAAATTTTGCCAATCTCCCATCTCTAATTCTCAATTGTCTTTGTATCCTTGTCCAAACTCAAGGAATTTTTGGCAGAAGAAGTTGTCCAATGAAAATAACTGCGAGTACCCGTAACCCTAATTTGATTGTTTCGTTTAATTATGTCTATCAGCTATATATGTGTACTAAATGCTTTTACTATCAATTATTAAGATGGGTTGTATTCTTATTTCTGATTAGGCAAGACGTCTGGACCTTTTCTTTTCATTTTGGGGTTCCGTTGCTTTTCTTTCTTTTTTTGTGGTTATTCTGTGACATTGAAATATATAGCTATGGACTTCATTGAGGTTCCGTTTCTTTTTTTTTTTTTTGTGTGGTTATTTTGTAACATTGAAATATATATAGTTGTGGATTTCATTCTAGTGCTTGTTTCTAATATTTGTTGTCCTTGTACTACTTAATATTATTGTAATTGCATATGAAGTTGTGTCAATGGTGTTTATTGTTCTATGTTGATCTGAGTTTTACTAATAATCTGTCAATGGTGTTTATTCTTCTATGTTGGTCTTGGTTTTACTAGAAGTCTCGATTTTACTAGAAGTCAAAAAAAGGTCTAAAAATAATTGAGATACGGAAATAATTAATCTAGTTTCTTTAAAAATTTTGAGATATTTTAGGAGAATGATATCTTGAAAGTTTTGCTAGTTGTAGCCAACCACATAGCTGAATTGTTAAAAGAATGAAAGCAAACAATTAGAAAATCATGCGAGGAACCTGAATGGAAAAAAACAAAGGTGCTATTTTAGCATATGACATTTTACTAGTTAATTTTAATGTTGGAGATCTTGGATTTGGAAGTTATGACTTTTTATTATTCGTGTAGATTGATGATTATCTTACATTTGAAATTATTGTTGTGTAAATTGTAAATCATTTGGTTTTAAGACTTGTAATTATAAATAATAACTGTTTATATTCTTCTTCTTTATTTCTTGTCAAACTATAGGTAAAAATACTATATATTTATAAATAATTTACTTATTTGATATCTTTTAGGTTGTGCAAAGCTATATATGAACTTCAAATTAGTTAATTTAGTTAATTTGGGAGTTTTTGGTGGGATTTTACAATCATACGATCTAATCCTATGAAACTAAAATCGATCCTATAAAGGATCCTGATTTTGCAAACCTTAGTTTAGTGTAGAATCTAACAATTTCTTTGACCTATTCTTAACACATTGTTTATCAAAAAGTAACATCTCTACTAATAACTACTTTCCATGTGTTTGGATTGTACTGTTTATAAACTTTGGTTCATTGCCATAACCAATGAAAATGCATTTCTCTGACAAATCATTTAATTTAGTTTTGATAGGATCTAGTACATGGGAATAGGTAAGACAACTAAATATTTCAAATAAGTAACAATTGGTTTCTTATTTGTCCATGCTTCTTGTATATTTTTTCCAAAATTGCACCTTATAGGATACTTTTTCCCTATAGAAATATAAACAACACAAGCAACAACTTCTTGTATATTTTTTTCCAAAATTGCACCTTATAGGATACTTTTTCCCTATAGAAATATAAACAACACAAGCAACAACTTCTGCTTAAAACCCTTTAGGTACAGTTTTAGTGTGCATCATAGACGTCACCATATCTATCGAAATATGATATTGTTTCTTTTAGCCACACTATTTTCTTAAGGTGTGTATCTGGCTGTTAATTGATGTTTTCACCAAATACTTATCACAGATAATAAATCTGGTGCTTCTATCATTTCTTAAGATTTTAATTATGTGTCCACTTTGTTTCTCGATATACAACTTAAAACTTTTGAAAACAAATCACATGCATCAGATTCAATTTTCAGAAAATATATCCAAGTTTTTCTAATAAAATCATCAATAAAATAATATAATATTTGTTACCTCCATTGGAAGGAACCCAAATTGAGTACAAACCTGAATGAACCAACTCCAAGGGTCATTTAGATCTCTTAGCTTTGCCTTTTGAGAAAAGAATCTTGATATTTTTTTTCCCAAAATACTATATCCGTATTGCTTATTAGAAAAAGCAATAGGAGGTCACCCATCCACCTTTTTTCTTTCTAGAAAGAAAATTTGGAACTCCTAACAAGTGACCAAAACTCATTAGCCACAGCTAATTATAGTCAAAAGCCATAGAACTATAATAAGATAAATCACTATAATTAAGAGTGACATGCCACAAACAACTACGATGCATGTAAATCTTGCTTTAAGTCCTAATTGATCATAATGAATAGTATCAATTTATAGTTAAAATGTAAATCATATTTGTTCTCAAAATACAACCTAAAGCTCAATAAGTTATGATGAAGGTTTGGCACAAAATAAATATTAGATATAAAATTTGAAGATTCATCGTTTAGAATTTTACCAATTTTTCCTTTACCCAACAAGTACTTTTTCATTATTTACAAATTTAACAATAATTTTGAGAGAATTCATCCACGGTAGTAAATGTTTCCTTATCATCACACATGATTGCTACAGTAAGAACCTAAAAACCAAATATCTTTTTTGAATTTCTTACTTCTAGGGGTGGAAAACAAAATAGTCTCACCTTTTTCACCATTATTTTCAATCACTTCAGCATGCACACTCCAATCATCAAATTTATTAGACCAACATTCATTTCTATAATGGCCTAACTTTCCAAACTTATGGCACTGAATATTATACCTATGATAATTATTATTTTTCTACTATGTATCGGAATTTGTATTACTTTTTGCTTTTAATGAAAATATCTCTACCCTAACTTCTAAAATTACTCCTATAGCTATGTGTCCTTCTTCTACGGTTTTGATTTCATTGATTTGAAATATCACTTTTTCTTTGGTCTTATCTTGTAATGCCTTTATTTCTATATCATTTTCTCCATGTCCGTCCAAGTTCTCATTAATTTCCCGTTCATGAAATAGTTGACAAACCTTGCAATTCTTCAATATCAACACTGATAAATTTTTTGTCTCTTAAAGCATGATTACAACATGATCAAAGTTCATCAGAAAAGTATTCAGAACTTTCTCGACAAGCACATCATGAAAACATGACCATTGAACTCAATTTTGATCTTGATATCTATTAATCAGAAAAAATAAGATTCAATTGTCTCTAATTTTTCCATGGTAATGAGTTTATATTTCCTCTTTAACAGTATCAAATTATTTTTCTGGACTCTGTTGAATCCTGTGTATGTATTGCGCAAAATATCCCGTACCTTCATTGTAGTTTTGGCATTTGTAATTTTTTTAAAAAATTGAGACATCAAGCGCCTAGTGAATTTGAGATAATGCCATGCTTGTTTTCCTCTTGGTATTTTCATTTGCATCTATATTGACTTCTTGTTCGACAAACATGTATAAATTATATGCCTCAAGACGGGTTTCTATGTGCATATTCCAAAAATTATAACCTTTCTTTCCTATGAGTTTTGGAACTTCACAATTAATATTGCTCACAGCCATATCGTCGAATCAATCTACTTTTGGTACGATTTTGTAGGAAATAAATTTATTTCAAATAGATAAATATATCAGTCTCTCAAAAGGAAAAGTTAGGTATCGAAAATAATATGAAGAAATACGGTACAAACACACGGCACTAAACATTTGCAACGCAAGCTCAGCTTTTTATTCTAAACTTCTCAAAACTTATACTACTAATATATAAGTAGGATG